TTGTGTAATTTGTATTTTTAGGAGCATTTGGGCGGAGTTATTGACGAATTTACGTAAACCGAACACCAAAATTATCTGTCCTTCTGCGTGAGTTTTTTAAAAATATTTTATAATAATTATTATCATCTTACACACATACAATTCTGAGAAGGAGATATTGGAATCAGATTCTTTAAAAAAAAATATCTTTTATGAAAAAATGTGTTTTTTTTTTTGAAGGAAGATACATTTATTTTACTATACTTAATTATAAATATGTATAATACATGCATACTGGTAATAAATTAATTTTTTGTATGTCATACAACTATAATCTTTAGAGTTTAGTAAATTATCGTAATATACATAGAAAATAGAGCTTATTACCATTCTCACCATCTTAGATKATCTTATACAGCTAATCGTTTTCAATATTGTAAAGATATATCTAAGAAAAATACAAATTGTTATTAAAAAGTGGTTTTAGAGCAAAATCATAGCTGATTATGGCATTTATAGAACACTAGAAACAGCCACTTGACGTTTTTTGAAAAAATATTGATGAGGGTATTGATAAGTTACACTTAGTTAAAAAAAAATTAAAAAAATGTTTTGTGTCTTTTATAACGAGCTGTAGATATTTAGTTTAATACGAAACCCTGATAAAGTTGTCTCCAAAATACTGTCTCTATAAATTATTGTATAACAAGTGTTTTTACTCTAAAACCACTCTGTAATGCCGTTTTGCTTGTTTTTGCGTAAACATGTCTACGTCGTTAGATTAAATTTGTCATTGCTGTMATTTGCTGGATCCATCCGATAATAGTAAAACGCGATAGTTCCAATAGTGACAGTTAAGGTCTAATATCATTATAACTAGTGTATACAAAAACACAGGTCATCATCATATTGGTTTTTCCATTTGAAGGACTATTGAGTATCACTTAAAATTATTGTTTCCGACACTTGATTTTGTTTTTTCCATCATCATTACTAATTCAAAACGCCTATTTCGTTGACGTAGCTCAGAAATATTTTTCCACTAGCCCCCCTCCCCCATAGGTACATATAGTTTCACTTTAACACAAAAGCTATATGTACACTGCGTCACACACTCAATAGTTTAATATTTTTAACCGGGAAATCGTCGTAATCGATTAACCGATAACCTGGTTCATTTGATTATTGTATTGACAATATAACATAACAATAATATTTAATTATATCATAATATAACATATATATATGGTAACTGAAATTATGCTGACAAAATTTACTTTTATTTTTATTTTTCTCATCTTATTTTCAAGTCCCAAGATACCGTTGACGTTAAACAAGGGGTTCGCTATCCCGGCGTGGTTCGACTTGTCGACTTTGAACGAAGACGCGCCGGAAAACGAATCGGACATATTGCGTGCCGTGGACAACATACACACGATTTTGGACGAGGAGTTGGCCAAGACTCGGTTACCTCCAAAGAAATTGTTGCTGGGTGGTTTTTCGCAAGGYGGAGCGCTGGCCCTGTACGCCGCACTCACGTACCACAGGCCATTGGCCGGTATCTTCATCATGTCCTGTTGGATACCATTACACAAGACATTCCCAGACGTAAGTCACCTGAGGTTATATCATGGCGATAGTTAGAAATGTTGTCTATGAAAGAGAACGCGCTCAAAAAAAATCTAAGTACTTAAAAAAAAAAGATCAAATAATAATGCGAAAAATATTGAATCACGCGCGTTTGATGTCTGAGGATACAACAAACACTGCCGCAAACGAGTGACGAGTACGGTCATAATACACCAATATGGGTGTTCTAGTTTATCGAGTAGTTTATAGATGGATAATTGAACGATGTATATTAATGAAATGCAGTGATATTGAAATTTGTGTATCCACCACCGATCGTTTTCTTCATTTGGAATTAATTTTTAAATATGTAGATACTTATRAGAAAACATCATTAAATACGGAAAAATTATTTAACTAAATTTAAAAAWATATATRTATATTTTTGTGTGAAATRCCATAAAAAATTTTATTATGTCCCTATATACATATTATAATGTTAAAAGTTATCMAAAAAAATAAAACGAAAGTTTCTTGTTCTGTTCAATATATAAAAYGGATATATACGAACATTATGGATAGATTCGTAAAACTATACAAAATGTATTTAAATCACGAGCATACTTATAAATAATKATTAATTCCACCGTCAATCGATAAATTCTGTAATATAATTATTAACGAAATATTATGTGTACGACCGTGGGCTAAGCTATTACATTTAAAACCGATTTAATGTAGAAGCGCATAACGTTAAAGGGATTTAAAATACTTCAGGATTTTTTTTTATACATAAAATGCTTAGCTTATATCTGTTGATCCATTTGTTTTCTATGTATACTCATAGCCAATGAATTTTAATCCCAATTGCAACACACCCATAAAAGTGACCTACCCAATTACTAGGTGCACTCACTAAAATCAGACCTAAATTGTATAGATATTAATTAATTATTGTTAATACTTATTATAATTATTATTGCTGTATTAGCAGCTATATGTATATTTTATCACCTACGAATAAACTCAAAATAAAAAACTAAAAACCTAATAACAGGAAATAAAAAAAATTATAAAATGAATGAGTATTTATTACTATGATAATATTTTTAAGATAATTA